ACGCACGCCGCCGCCCGCCAGACCGGGGGAACTCCGCCGCCAGACCGGGGAACGCCGCGAGAGGGACCCGGAAGAGACCCGGGGAGAGCAGCAGCCAGCCACCTGCCATGGAACTCCAGAGGAGCGAAGACTGCCGGACACTGTGGGACCCCCCTGCAGCCCACACCTGTGTGACCCTTAGCACACAGGGTGCTGCTGCATAAACCCCCTGTTTCTGCATTCTGATATGACAACTTACGCTCACTCTTCTTATGCACATACTTTTTTTAGCAAAATCTCACTGGTACCACTGTCTCTTTCAAGTCCAGTTCTAATAGAATTTTAAATGATAATAACTAGAATTATAGGACAGTCTGCTATTAAATATTTTTAAATTTTTTAAATTAAAATAAAAGTAAAATCTCCAGGATAGAAACTCCTTGAGATGTTCTTCTTGTCCTATATTTTTCATTTCTTATTTCATTCTAGTAATATAGAGACTGACAAGAGCAGAAAAAGTTAATTCTACCAGTAACTAATATAAGACTAGATCCCAGACTACCTCACCTTAAAGCTCCTTCCATTTCATGACAGTGCCACTGAAGTATAACTAGGAAATATTACAGCCTAATTATCAAACTCTAAAATTAGAAATCCTTAGTGTCTATGTGACTAACACATAGTAGGTATTTAATTAATGTTTGCTGAGTGAGTTAAGATAGTTATGGTATATCAGGGATCAAGCTAATGTGAAAAGGAAACTATAGTAGAATCACATTGGCAAAATGAAAAATCCTTTCACTCTCTTTGTTCAAAGCAGTTTCAACCTATGATCTTTTTTTTTTTAATTTTATTATTTTTGTGTGCGTGTACCGTCAAATCAGATCTGACTGGTACAGGAGGAGATTGTCCCTCCTTCCCTGGCAGAGCATCTGGTGGATTTGAACCGTTCGCCTCTGGGATTGTAGTTGCAGCTCCTTGCCACTAGGCTACCAGAGCTCCCCTCAACCTATGATCTTAAGCTGCAGAAAACATGGGGTGAATGAGTCATATGTCCTCCACTCTCTCCTACAGTTATTTTCATAACCTGGGGCTGCCCGTTACCTGCACCATCAGGTTTCCACGGCTCTGACAAAATCGCTCCAACATTTTGAGGAAAAGGTGAGTTGTTTCTACCAGGTCCCGAAGGAAGGAGCGGGGCTGCCATCTCTCATCAAACTTTCGGAAGAGTGCTAGGAATAGTTCTCGGTATTCCATCACATAGAAAATGTTGTCTAGGAAAGGGAGAGAGAAAGAAATGAAAAGACTGGCCTAGAAAAGTTAGGAGGAAGAGAGATGAGTAAAATTAGGAAGAAAGGGATTCTCGTCAAGAGAAGGGGAAAGCTGGGGCCAGTGACCAGGCCAGAGTCTCACTCTTGATGATGCGACTGCTCTCCCTGACAGCTTCTTGTGGCGACATGTCCATCTCATTCACTGTGGCTAGCAACTCCTGATAGGCCTTCAGAGCCAAGTGCATCCTGCAAAGTGAAGGAAAAGGGTAAAACAGAGGTTAATTTAGTACACTGGCTCATGGAAACAGCATCCCTCTAAAAAACTACTGCACTAAACCCAGAAAGACCGATCCAGTTCCTGCCTCCCTAAACTTGATCACTTTAATCTTGAAGGTGGGAAAACATATTATCTAGAACTCAGACACTTATCATTTGACCAAGATCCCTACTGTGACCCTAGTGATGACTGACTCCACTCACCGGCGTGCCCAGGAGGCAGCTTCCTTGCGGTCAGTTAGCATCATTTCATAGTAGTTGGTGAGGTTCTGCTCAATGAAGTGGAAGGTACGGACACTGAGGGTCTCGGAAACCAGGCCTGGCCGGAAGGTGGCCGCTCGGTTGAAGGCCATGAAGAAAGCCAAGGCCCACATGTAGTAGGTCTCATCATGCTGCTGAGCTTTCTCCCGAAGCAGGTGATCCTGACATCCAGAGAAAAAAGGCCATCTCACGACCTCAGGGCTTTCAACTTGTCATCTTGTGATAGCAAGGTGGATCTTGGACACCACTGTAGTAATACTCTAGGATCCATAATTCCTAACTCTCTTGAGTTTCCCTGGTTCTCATTATTTCCTTCCCCTTCCTCTAGCACAGGGAGCTCTGGGTAGTAGACCACAGAGAGTTATGTGGCTAATCCATAGCTGCTTGCCTTCCATGGCTCAAATCCACCAGAAGTTTTACAGGAGGAGGGGTAGTATCCTTTTCTTGCAATTTACAGCCTCAAAAACTAAATGAAGTGTCACTATGAGTTGACTATGAGTTGAAACCCAATTGGATGGCGGTGAGTTTGAGTTTCTGGGTCTTTCCTTGTCTTCCAGGCCAATTTCTCCAGAGCCATTATTGTCCTGCCAATGACACAATCCCTCTGGACCGGACATCTATACCAATTCTCAATGGGCCGCCAAACCCTTCCATCTACCAGTCCACACCCTAAGGCCAGCCTTTCATGAGCTTCTCCCCAAGCTGTCCTTTTCATCCACCACTGGTCTTACCACTTCCCTGTTCACTTTATCTTATCTCCCATATCCATCCAAGGATCTCACCTTCACGGAACCCATGAGCCGGTTGTAACAGTTCTCCAGAAACTCAGAGCAGAAATCTCTGAGGAAGAGTCGCACATTCAGGGCAGAGCGGCGCTGAGTGGACAGCTCCCGGGCAGGCTGACAACGTTTAGGCACCCTTCGCCGCTGCTTCCCCATATCTGAACTATAGTTTTGGAGCTAAGGGTGTGGATTGGAGGATTAGAATTACACTGAGTTACCACCTTTTTCCTTGCAACTCTTTCCAGATTATCTAGTTCTATGGTTCTCTCAAAAAGACTCTCAGAAAGGTTTTCCCCTTTGATATTAAGAAAAGACATAGGTGAGGATAATACAGCTAATGCCAGAGACCTCATTTCTCTGTCTCCAGCTTCCTAAAAAGTCCAAGTACACAGAAGGTTTAACTTCAGGGCAGCTTACCCTCATAGGCCCTTCATCCCCATACTGTTCTCACCCTAGAGTGAACACACTTACATTGTGAAGACCTTTGTGGAAGATGACATCCCTCTCTCCAATGGATTTTAGTCCTTGGACAATGTAGGAGCCGCCAAATCGAGAATGCCTGCAAAGGAGTAGGAGGAATAAGTCCAGGTGATTCCTTAATTCTACGAAAGTTTTATCCCCATTCTCTACTCAGCACATCAGAACATATTAGAAAGTATTATCTAATCACACTACCTTCGAGAACTTGGACCAAGGTCCTCAGCCATTCTGTGTCACTCACCTGTTGCTTCGCTGGAGGGCTCGAGTCTTCTTTTCTGCCATTTCTCGCTGGCGCAACATTTCCAGTTCAGCTACATCTGTGCTCCGCTCTTGAGCTAAGCATCCTTGTCCTACTCCTGCCAGCTGCTGAGGGTTCTAGATTTGCAAAAAAGAGGGAAGAATCAAAATTACGACCATCCCTTATCCTTTGTTTACTTTTATTGGAGCTGGAAAGAGTAAACAAACAGGACAATTGATGGCAACCCATATTCATGGCAAATATCCCAGGTGGTTTAGCTGTTATTGTAAGAATGATTCTGACCACATAACAGGGACGTACATGAATGGAAAGAACTAGGGCAATAAATAGGTTGGGGTCTTGCCACACCCGCCTCGCTGTCCTCTCTGGCCACGACGCCTGTGTGACAAAATGGGTCGTCCGTGCCTGTACGGGGTCTCTGACCTCAAGGATAGCATAAAGGGAATCTTGCAAGCCCTGTGCTTGTGAGTGGGCTGATGCCTGGATATTTGTTACAGATGGGTCTTCGTAATCCTGGGAAACCTCTGGAAATTAAGTTGCTTCTAGGATAAGAATGGGAGTTTCTGGGGAATAATCAGGGGAACTTCACCAGAACTGGGATAAAGATTTAATTAAAGTCCTTAATCAGGAACCATTTGATGTTCCTGGAAATGATAACATACAAGATGAAAATATAAAAGAAATTGAGATTGCTCTTAAAAGTATAATTTTGAATATGATCTTTGAGTATGTATCTAATTCCTCTTTTGTGATACTTGCAACTCATATTTAGTAATGTAATTGTATATTAAGAGAAAGTTTAGACTAGTTTTAACAGCAGAAAGTCATAGTTAATGAGAATAAAACAGAGGTTTAAGAAAAGACTCAAAAGACAAACTTCTCTAAAAGTAAAGGTCTCTTTAAGAAATAGGAAATATTACCAGATAAATAACAGGTGGTGGGAAGAAAGTACTTATAAAGGACCATATGTCCTGCCAACTCCAACACCAGTACCTCTTCCTTATACAGACGTTTTGTATTCCAAGGAAAAAGAATTGAATATTACAAATTAACTTGGTAAAAACAAGTTAAAGGAAGTCGTCCACCTTAGTGCACATTGCCAAACAAAAAACAAATTAAAATCTTATGAAACAAGTTGCAAAAGCTATTGTTAAACATAAGAATGGTCCAGAGTGTAGGAAAATAGATGTTAAGATTCGTTAGGTACAGTACAAATATGAGTACAAAGGCAAAAACAAAGGTGGCTAAAATACAGTGACACAAAGTAGGAGAGGAAAGGAAGTGAAATGTAAACCATTAACCATTGTCTAGCAGATGACCAACATAAGGTCATTGTGTTTCTTGTTCAAAGAATGTTTAATAGCCGATGCTATTATTTAGTAATAGAAAATACTTTCTTTTTGTTAAAATCTTATGTGAGCTTTGTAATCACAAAATGTTGGCTATAAGTCAAGTTTAAACAAGTTTAAATGTATAAAAAGCAAGCTTTTAGCATAATAAATCAGAGCTCTCTACATCATCCTGGTGTGCAGACTCTCATTTTCGCCGACTTCGTCCCTCACCTGCTCTTCACCAAGAAACCCCTTGAGTTTCTTGTCACGACCGTGGTCGGGTGGTCGGTGACAGGGTCTCACCTGGTCACGGAACATAAGGGAGATGATCTCCAGCACGTGTAAGCTCCACTGCTGCTCAGCAGGTGAGCTGGCCAGGAAGAGAAGCAGGTCGTCCAGTCCACTGAGGTGAATTGCCCAGAGAAGCCGGTCATGGACACTGGCGTCATCATCGATGCTCTGAACAGTGAATGGTGAGGGGAGAATGGGAAGTCATTGTGTGCTACTACCCGGCCGTGATGTTCTCCAATCAATCATTCATTGCATGATCACAGTTTTCCGAGCCTTGTCAAAACACAGAGAAGTCAAAAAAGGGTGCTTAAACCCAACCAGCACAGAACTCACTTTCTCATGATCAGGATCAGCTGGGACATGAAGAATATTTCTGACCAGAAGCAGGATCCGCTCAATCAGCAAGTTGTCTTCTTCCTGCCGTTCCTCCCAGCCCTGGTCATAAAAACAGTTAGAAGAAAAGACCCCCTATGAGAGTGTACCACCTACCCTGGCTGGAAGACCGGAGAACAGGGGTAAAGAAGAAGAATAAGAATTCAAGCAGGTGGGATGCAGACAGAAGGCTGTGGTGGTTTTAACTACTAGACTGCCAAAAACTAGAATCACATCTCCAAACCCAGCATCTCCTCATAATGCCTAGTTTGGAGCTTTGACTTGAGGAGGTTCAATGTGCCCACGAGCTCACAGGATCTTGTAAGATGTAGATTCACTCACCAGCTGCAGTAGTTCATACAAGGTTTCACTGAGGACCCCAAAAGCCTTTTCACTTGCAAAAGCCTACAAAATAAAGTAATGGACCTTAACTAGTACCCACATAATCTTACTCCCTCCCAAAACTTTTCCCCAGGAATTCTGTCCCTGCCTCACCTCTTTGTAGGCCTGTAGATAAGCTAGCACCTGCAGAAAATGGTGCCGGAAGCTGGGCTCCTTGGGCACACTGCCAAAGCAGAGCAAGGCTGGCTGTGTCAGGTTTACCATCAGCCTGCGAAGACAGTGAAAGAAGTTGTAGTTTTTTTCATTAAGCACCAAACACCAAAACTTAATCGACCTGAACACCAATGCTGGTACATCTGATAAAATGTAAATGGCTGGAGAATAACCTGATAACAGCGTCAAAGAGGGTCTTGTCCTGGCGATGTTGGGTAAGGATCGGCAGAAGGTCACGCTGCAGGATTTGAGCTGCCCCCAGCTGCTGACGAATATCCCGAGTCTCGTCCTCATGTCTCAAGTAGCGAATCAAATCCTTCACACTTTCTTCAGGGACAGAATAAGACAATTACACATGGACTTTTACAAGACGCTTCCCCCAGGCCCATGTGCTTTAGAAAGTCAACAGACCACTTCAACTGAAGAAAATGTGCTTTTCTTCTTCTTGTGTACTGTAGAATAGGATCTAACTGGTACAGGAGGAGACTGTCCCTCTTTCTCTAGCAGAACATCTGGTGGATTCGAACTGTGAACCTTCAAGACTGCAGCACAGCTTCTTGCCACTATCTCACCAGAGCTCCCTTTCTGCTTGGTTTTTAATCTGTTTACTTACCTAAACAATCTGGTTCCTTGTGGTAAGTGTCTCCTTCCAAGTACCCAAGGGCACTACAGGTAGCTAGAAGTTCACAATTCATCATGAATTAGTCCGTACAACAGTGGATCAGCCAACAGAGAAGTAAGGCAGATGAAGACAGGAGAGGCAAAATGATGAGGTCTGCAAAGAGAAGATAACAAGTGATCTTCTCCATGATAGGGAATGAGGAAACGAGCAGGGCCCGAAACACCAGGTGATTCTGAAGAGAATATTTCACTTTGGTCAGTACAAAAGTCTCAGGGAAAGACAAAAAGACACTTACACACATATACTTTTACTGTGATAAATGTATAAGTAACACATTGTTTACCATTTCTACAATCTCCACATGTATAATTCAATGACATTAATCATGTTCATTATGTTGTTCAACTGTCATGCTTTAAAGAAGCTCCGTACTCCCTAAACATTCTATCTTCTTTTCTCCTCCAGAGAAAGCTATTTTCTTACTGGTTTCCATACAATAATTTGTTGACATTGTGTTTCATATAATCATTCGTATGTATTGCATTTTACATAATTAATTACTATTGATATATGCCTATTATTTACCCCATGTTGTGGGGTCCCCATTAAATCTTTCCTATTCCTTCACCCCCCACCCCAATCTGTCCACTAGATTCTGCTATCCTAGTGATATTCACACTTTCCCTTGTCTGCCCTCTTCCCACTTTCCCTTTTAGACATTTATACACATCTTATTAGGTTTTACAATAATGGTCATATGCAGTATTTACCCTTTTGAGACTGAGTGGTTCCCTGAGCACAATGCTTTCTAGATGCTATGTTATACAGTATTTTAAGATATTGTTGTTCCTTCATGCTGCATTGTATTCCATTTTCTAAGTGTACCAGAATTTCTCAATCCATTCGTTTGTTGATGGGCATTTGGGCTGTTTACATTTTCTGGCAATTGTGAATAACGCATTATGAACACAGAGGTACATATCTGTTTGTGTCAAAATTCTAATTCCTTGAAGTATATTCCTACCAGTGAAATAACTAGGTCAGAGCAGCTGCCCAGGAGATGGCTGGCCCAGGAAAGACCAGGCTCTCCCACCAGGTGCAGTGCTTCAGAACAACATTTGTGGTCAGGCCATTTGCCAAGCTTGTGAGGCCACATGTTCAAATACATGGTGCTGAAGTCACTGTGCACTACTCTTCAGTGTGGTTCATCCAAAGAGAATAAACTGCATCAAGTAGAAAAGAGTTACTGAGAATAGCATAACTTCTGAAGGATCCCAAAGTGGCTCTTGCTATTCTGAATCCTCATGTAGTCTATTAACGTAAAAGCCTAAAGGATATCTCAGCAAGAGAGGTTTACTCCACTCACATCCAATGCGATCAATCGGCTTGTTGAGAATGGTTGCTGACCATCAACACCCTGGGAATCATTTCTGCCTTTTCCACCATCATGAGTGTCCACCATGGAGAAGTTCCTTGCACAGTCACCTCTGTGTCCCTCTTACACAGCACCTCACTCTCTGAATTAAAAATAGTCCTGAACAGCTTGCTAAGTCAAGGGCAACTGTTGACACTGGAAGTTAAGACTGATCCATCAATCATGGGATTGTATGAGAGAGATAAATGTTGATGTGTCTACAAAACCCAAGATTCAGAAGCTGAGCAAGACTTTTCAGGAGGTTATGTGAAATGTTGGTTTTCTGTCATCAGAGCTTAAACTCTGATCATCAATAAAATGTTAACCAGATAATTTATAAAGTAAAAACAAAAAGAAATAGCCAGTTCATATGGGATTTCTATGTTCAGCTTTTTGAGGAAACATCAAATTGATGTCCTGAGTGGTTGTACCATTTTATAATCCCACCAGCAGGACATGAGTTCCAATCTCCCCATGTCCTCTCTATCATTTATTACTTGCGGTCCTGTTAAATTCTGCTACTGTTCCTGGGATGAAACGCTATCTCACTGTGGTTTTGTAGTGAAAGCTTTAAATCAAAGCTTCTACTTGATAAAACCAAAGAAGCTCCAAGCTAAAGAGCTTGCCAGGACCAGTGTACATACCCTCCATAGCCCCTCTATAGGCTGCTACAGCTCTACATGGCATGGAAATTAAGGGAGTCCAGTTGTGTCCACACTGTGATTCTTAGGATCTGATATATCCTAGGAGCCCTGAGGCTTCTATGTCATTGGGGATATATCCTTACTCTCGTCCCCAAAATTACTCTTAAACTTTAGTACTCTCAGTAGAAGTTACTCTAACAGAGTGAATGAGTAACAGTGATAAAAAGAACTACTCTCACTCTCTCCTTATTCAGCTAGGCACAGTTCCAGAATTCTGGCACAAATAGCATGGTCATACACAAACACATGACATTTTTACCCTCCTACCATTCAGCCATACTGTTCACCTGCACTTTTAGCAACATGGTTCTTAGCCCAAGGCAGTACCCTCCTCTAAAAAGACCTTTCCCCATCCCTAAGCCCCCGTTAGCCTGACCTCATTCCCGTTCCCCTGAAGGAACTGGGTAGAGTCCAAGACCTAAGGTTTAATATTAGATTTAATCCCCCTGCATTTACTTAACTGGTCCACTTCTCTAGCCTGTCTGCTATCCCTCCACCCACTCTACTGCAGAACCAACCTACTTTCTGACTCTACTCAGCAATAGTCAGTGAAACATTGAATGACCAAGGGAACTGAAGACTCACTTTGCCCACCTTTTTCTCCCCCTCTGCCAGCTTTTTCATTGCACCTCCAATACTTGACACTTGCGTATGATTCCTACTCTCCTCAGATACATTCAGTTTTTCCAGACAGACACACTGATATGTGCACAAAACCACACACACAACTCACAAGAAACTGTTCAATGTTTTCAATTGTCAGCCTGGAAAGCTCACAAGAACGGACAGTGAAGCTGAATGTAAAGATGACTGACTAGTCAGTCCAATCTCCTCAGAATGAGACAAAGCGTCACACTCTGGCTCTAACAGGTGGGAAAGGATAGTTTTCTAACAGCAGAGACAAAGTGGAGAAGACTCCAAGGCAGACAAGCAGATAGTTTTCCCAGCTGTCCCCCAAACTGGCTCCTTCAAACCCATGAGTGCAGAGTCTGTTCTGACCTGTGATGGTCCACTGGATTTCCAAGGCTGCCAATCGTTAAAGCATGAGATTGCCCACCTTCCTCCTATGGACAAGCTACTAGACTCAAACTGCAGTTAGCATCCCACCATAGTTATGCACTATACCACCAGATGCTCCTTAAGAGTTCATAAATACACTTCAAGGATTTAGATCCTCCCAGAAGAGCTGTGGGTGAGCATTAACATTACTGGTAAGTATATTAGTTTTCTCCTGGACACAAGAGCCTACTATTTGGTCCTAAAAGCCTTCTGAGGTCCCAACTCTTCTCATTATCTCTGTTGTTGGAATTGACGGAAAA